CTGTCCCCTGATGTTTGTGCTGTAGACCTTCCCCCCTTGAATTCTTTGGTCTTCCTCAATGACTTGAGTCTGTAACAGACAAGTTATACATTACAATACAATCAGATGTCTCTGGATTAGTCCAGTGGGTCATTTTCTTGTTAAATAATTACATTGACAAACTGCTGGTTCATGTGGAGTAACATAAACGGTATGTTGGTATATGAACATATCAAATCCCAGGAGGATTAGGGGTCTATACTCACAATGCTGGGGATAGAATCAGCATCCAGTTTCTTCTGTGGTGGTCCAGCCAGTCCACCTGGTGCTCCAGGGAAGCCCCCCGGCATGCCCGGCTGGGGCCCTGCCATTGGCCCTCCAAATGGACCTTTACATTAAAAGCAAATGAACAGTTTAATGTTTATAACTGTGTACAATGGAATAGTTTGTGTTAACTGAATGTATGCTGTGTAACGCTAACTGTGCCAATATGAGAACAAGAGGCATCTAATTTGTATACTTGTAAAAAGGACAAGTACTGATGATCCATCCAGACTCTTATTCAGATAACAAAAAATCTATGACACAGAGAAACTTCAGAGAAGGATAAAGCTTCAAAACACATACTGTAACAGGAAAGACAGTCGTTTTTTTAACCTCAGATATGATGAAATACATTCTGATATGATGACCATGTATCTGAAAGTAATGTTTTTTGTAGAAGACATTTCAGGTGTAAAATGTCACAGTTACCTGCTTGCTGCTGGTATCCTAGCGGACCAGCAGCTCCAGGGCCAGATTGCTGGAAACCTCCAGGTCCTGGAGGAGGTGACCCAGGGAAGGGCCTTCCCATGCCTGCCATCGGTGGACCTGTCATTGGAGGGCCTGTCATTGGTGGACCTCCCATTGCCATGCTTGTTGGGGATAGCTGTGGAGGAGACAACTGGGGGTGCATGAGGGGTGTCTGCGGGCCTGGAGGCATCTGTTGCTGGCCCATTGTTGGAGGAGGGCCTGTTTGGAAAGGCTGCTGAACTACAGAGCTTGTTGGAGGGGGCGGGCTCTGCATGGGACCTGGGGCTGCAAGAATCAAGAAAAGAGAATATACAACCCGGTGAGTACTACGCTGCAGTCATTTTTTTTAACACCCTGTCCTTTTCTTTCTAAGGCTGCTTCATTTAAGTTCATGGCATACATGACACGACACGTCCTGTTCATAGAATAACGTGAAAAAGTAAAAAGCAGGCTAACCATAGTTCCCCAAGTTCATGGAACTCATCTGATTGGTGAGCTGCTGCGCTGGAGGCATGCTGTTGTATGGGGACTGTGGAGGTTGTCCATATGCCGAGGAAGCAGCTGGTGGAGCAGGATATCTGAGGAGTATAATAACAGTTATCAGAGTACACTAGATACAGCGTGGGTCATGATTTACTCAACATTTGGATCTGTTGAAAACATTACTAAGATGATTTAAATGTATCTGTTGCATGGTAACCTTTTTTTTACTTTCATGATCTTCGAGATTGAAAACGAGATCAAAAGACACAAGCATAGAAATCTTTCTTTTTATTCTCCTTGTGTTTGTACCAGGAGATAATTAGCAGGACCAAACTGTTGCTTTTTGGGGGAAGATTGGTACCTTTGCGGGTGCGCACCATTCTGCTGGATATTTGGATTGTACTGACTGGACACTGGAGGTGGAGGCATTCCAGCAGCAGATGAGACTGGAGATTTCATCATACCTGCAGTGAGTTAAGGACACCAGACATATATCAGTAAATTGTTTGGTTTTCAGGTGTAAATACAAAGTATATTCAGACAGGTTTTCAAAGCACCTTTATGTGACTTGAGAAGTAATGCTTCACATGGCTTATTCTGTAGTTTGCCCTATAACGCTTGAGTCAAACAGAAACCTGATTCCAGGGTTGAACACAGTGTCTACATTGTTGTTAAGAAAGCGTAGTAATCTTGCTGTTGTCTGGGCCTTCTTCTTTTCCACACACCATGAGTAAGTCATTATCTCTAGAGAGACTCTGGTGAATGTAGGACCATTTGTTTGAACTTTTTAATGCACAGCTTGATTTAGAGTGGGTTTTTTTTTTTTTTTAGACTTAAGCCAATAAAGTTATGGTATATTTGCCTTTATAGGTTTTCTTTTAACATACATGCTTGAAATATTAGCCAATGGACTATGTAAAGGTAAAGGTAAGATACACAAATGTACTCCATTAGAGAAAATCATAATTAACAATACATTACAAGCAGCAAAGTGCAACTTGATACAAGGATTACTCATATTGTGCAAAACACTACTTAAGGCCTATTATTTTGAAGTATTTGTCTCGGCTTATCTCTTCTTTGAAAGCTTGAGAATTGTGAGCTTTCAGTTTCCACATTTGATACTATTCAACAATGAATGCTCAGATCTGGCTGGGAGACAAGATTGAACTTGTTAACGAAAACAGCTATCATATCATTTGGGTCAACAATCCAGTAGCAGAAGCGGTGTACCTGTGGGTGGAGCTGTGAATGCCTGAGGCTGTCCCCCATAGTGTCCATAGAGGGGCTGTGCGGGACCAGCTCCAAATCCACCTTGGTAGCCCCCCATCCCTGGCTGGGCCTGGGAGTATGGGGGTGCAGCAACATAACCCTGTTGACTCATGTCGATGGGATGAGTGTTACTGTCTTCTCATGCCAGGATGAAGGAGTTTGTCAACCTGTCAAGTTGAAAAAAAAATGGAAATTTAAAGTTCATAATTTACGCGTACGTACACGTTAACGCATTTAAAGGTGCCTTTTTGAAACACTTTGCACCCAGCATGTTAACGTCTTGCATACACTATAACTTGCATGCGTCTAAAGCCACATCAACAACAACTGACATTTGCCCTCATGCAATCACCAACACTGTGTCACATGGACTTTTGACATTGCTTCTTTACAGATAAGACAGGCCTATCCTTCATTACATTATCTTCATACATTTCTCATTTAGAATCAGAAGAAAGGCTGATAGTTAATAGACTTGTTTGCTCTGTTTACAATCCCATTATCTTCAATGTGATTGGCCCAAACCTATGGATTCTGATACTAACATTAGAGCCTCTTTTTAAAAAAACAAACTGCAGTCAACTTGCCTGTAAACGTGTTGATGGTGTGAACCCTTCAGAGTAAAACTTCAGCACAGCTGGGTCAACAAAAACAACAGCTGCGTCCTTACTGAATTAAATTCCTTTCCCTACTACACAATACACAAATTGACACACACACACAAAAAAAAGGAAGATTAAATAAACCTGATTAATCATCCACTTCAGTAGTTATCAGTATCTGCAACTTCCGAGAATTGCCACGTCAAACACCGTTATGATGGCTTAACATCCCGAGCATCCCTTACCCCTCCTTCAATTCACCTCAAGCCGAAATTACACATGTTATTCTCTTTCATGGTGACATAATTCAGCAAGAGAGGATAGCAAACCAACTTATCAAAACAGCGGAGAACATGACAACACCTCATTCACAGCTGATTGCATATTGATAGAAAACATCTCGCTGCTGGCTACGCGGAAATTACTACAAAGTTTCCACTCGCACCAGGAAAGAATACATTTAAAAAGATTAAAGAATAAAAATAAAAATAAAAGACTGTTCTTATTAGGCTTTACATGGTGCTACATGTGTAAATAGTGGTCTGGTAATATTTACCTGAATATAGGGGCCAGAGTCCGCTCCCGTGTCTAATGCCCTCAGTGGTAACAGAGTGCCACGTCAAACTCCACCAAAGCGCCGGTCGCTATGCTGGTTACGCAGTTTCAAGTTTCCTAAGGATACAAACAGCTTCCGGTTTGGCACTTCAAAATAAAAGCTCCCGAAATAAAATCTTCTTAAATATGATATTAGACCTAATTTTATAACAAATTACGGCTATGTATATTTCTAAGGCCTAATTAAAGATTTTTTTTTTAATATTCAGGAAGTCCAGAATGTGTTTAAGGACGCCACACATAGTACATAATTGAACTTCTGGTTGAGGTCGACGTCTTTTCTTTGGCTACCTTGACATGTTTGTGAAGTCGTGTCAGGCGCTGTGCGCATGCGCTAAATAGAGGGAACCCATACACGTCAGCAAATCAATGTAGGGATGTGGACCTGTGCACACTAAACTAAACACGTTACCTGTTTTCTCTGATAGTAACGCATCTCGCGCAGCTGAGATTTTAATAATTAGAATGGGATTGTAGAATTAATTGTTGATATGATTCACCGTGGGATATAATGATTTATTAAGCATAGTATAGCTATATTTGTAATCAAATGTAAGATATTTTTTTTTCAATGTATGTTTAATAAGCAGGGATGTAGCCCTAGATACTGTCAGTCCTTGACATTTAGTGGTAGCCTATATTGTCACAACATTCAACATTGACAGCCAATTTGTATTTTTCTGATAAACAACATATCTTCACAGTTTAAAAAAAAAAAAGTGCTTTAATATTTGTTTTGTGGACAAGTTGGTCGAAAATGAGTTAGGAATTATATTTTGCAATTTAGGCCTCAGTTTATAAAATCTTAACATTGACGTTGTAAATTAACTGAGGGTGTGTGGGGGGGCATAAGAGGAAACATTATAGATCCCACTTATAACACTAAAGCGTAAAAACAAGCATTCAGTTGCATGTTACAGCTGTACTAGGCCTAAATCACGAGAACATTCCTATGTGTGTGAAGCAATCTGTGTTAGGAAGTCAGACTTTAGCCTACAGTAGATCTGTGGTGTGTTCTTCACAATCTTCTGTAAGCCCCTTGAAGACTAATATCAACCCAAATATCCCGGATAACAGCTCCAAAGTACCATGTGGCCGCCCTCTCTTTATTAAGATGCTTTTGCTCGGGGATGTCAGACAGAGCGTGAGATACAAATCCGAGAAGCTCAACATGACAAGCCACCAGTTGCATGCAACTCCTGCAGGCGTGTCCGTGCGTCGTGACGTCTCTTGAGCGGGCTGGACTTCGGGAGAACTCAGATGATGGGGATAATACAGCGGTGCGGTGGAGGTGGTATCTGTAAAGTGCTGCCTGTCCGGCTGACAGCTCCATGATCGCACTGTGGTGTTTTGGCTAAGGAGCTGCGCGCAGCATGGGCACCGGAGATTACATCTGCGTGACGCTGCGCGGTGGTGCACCCTGGGGATTCACTCTGAAGGAGGGAGAGGGGGACACCTATAGACCCTTGATTGTCACCCAGGTATCTGTCTGTCTGTTTGCCTGCTATTTGTTTAGGTTCTCTATAAGAATTAAGCCATGATTTAATTACTGAGCCATTGGGGAATGTTGGACTCTTATTTCATATGTGACCCAAATAGTGTGATGTAGGTCCTTTTTTTTCTTCCTTTTTCATCACAACCATAAATATGTTTACAGTTTTACTTCAGTTTTGTTCGGTAAATAATTGAAAAGAAAAGTTGTTAAGAAGTTGAACTGTGTTTGTAAGGAGAGGGCTTGTTTTGAGCAGTGCGTGTGGCTGCATTTTTGTGCGCGTTGGCTGTGTTTTGGTGTGAGATTCTTCGGGACCCTTATATGGTCAAGGCCGAGAGGGAGAGTGTGAAGCTGAGGGCAGCTCGCTCTGTTATCACTCACAGAGGAGACCTCAGAGAGAAAGCAAAGCATTATCCAGACAAACCTTGGAGTGAAAGGGAGGTGCATTAATGCAAATCAACCAAATGTAAAAGGCGTCCAGCAGGTCGCCTATCATTGCAGAAGATTCAAATAAATGACAGAAAGGAGGTTAGGCAAATTTGAGTTTCTGCTTTGGCCTCTTTGGCTTTATGATATTTGTTTAGCCTGATAATGTGGTAATAAATGATAACAGTTAAGGATATTGCAACTTTAAGTAGAAGACAACATTTTGAGAAGCAATGTAATGTTCATGACATTTGTCTTTTATTAGTGCTCAACTTCTTGACAATTCTTTCTTCTTTACCCTTTCAGTTTATCATTATGTGGCTACAATCCATTGAAGCCTGAAATTAGCTCATAATCACTTATTTTAATACATTCATTTTATAAAAGTATAAAATATGTGGCGATTGACATATCCTCTCATACTGAGGGTTTCTGTTCATGAGCCACCTCTAATAAAGATTATTAAACAAAAGATGAAATTAGAATTTTAGGCTACAGAAAAGTTCAAAAACATACCTTTAAAAAAAACATATTGTGAATCACTGCAACTTTCCAACTCTGTGATTTTTCTAAATTTAAAAATTCCCTTTAAATTCCTATACACTAAATATAACATTATTTAGCATGAGCCTATATATAACCCTTGCCATACCATAACTTGGCTGCAACAAGTTTTATTTGTTCTCCTCTGTTCCATTTTTTCCTTTTATATTTTTTATTTCAAGTTGTTAGACTCTGACATATATGTTATGTAAGATTCTTGTGAATACACTACATGTAAATGGGGTATTACAGTGAAGCAGCTATTCCTGATGCATTAGCCTCAGTGCTGGACATCTGGGGGTTTCAGTCCAACTCATCTGGAAGGCTTAACTCCAAACATACCTCCAAACTCTTCGTTGTGGGAAGCGGAGTCTGTTAGTTATAAGGCAAAAAAAGAAAACATACCATCATCATGACAAAACCTCTAAAACTAGAAACTCTCCCGTGTCTGATCGAATGTGATTTTTGTGTTCAAGATTGGTTTGAAAGTAGTGGAAACTGTGTTTTGTTTCCTGGGAGAAAGTGATTGTTCAGTGTACTGACAGGGAGTACAGTGTAAGGGCACCCACTCTTAAAAGGTTCTTTCCTTATAAGGGAGGCAGTATTTTTCTTCTCATTTGGAGTCCTGGCCTGAGTACAAAGTTGATGAGGTCACTTCTTTTTAAAGCTACAGAAACTGCACCACACTAAATTACTACAAGACATGACCCACAAATACACCTTTGGAAAACTTGTAAAATGTAACGTCTGATCTATAGTAACAGTTTAATGATTGTAGTGGATATGTTTGCAACAAAATACTTCCATGGTATCTGAATAAATACTCGATAGCTTAAATCCTTCCTGAACAAGAGACATTTTGCCTGCTAATTACGAAGGTATGCCATGGTGGTATGTGGAATGTCAACATGCATTAGATCAGTTATGGAGCTCTGCATGACAAAGCAAATATCATAATGCAAGTCAGACACTTTCCAGACTTTATAGTAATGAGACAGTATCTACGTCGTATCTGCTTTCTCTTCCAGTATTGATGAAGAAGCTGTTTTTTGCCTGGGTGATTGTGACCTTACAGAGAGAATAAGGCTCTTGTTGCAGATGCTCCTCTCCTAATAGCACACCATAGGAATCTTATTAAGCCGCCAAGCAATCGGCACAATAAATGCAGTTGCTGCATGCATGCTTTCTGTTACATATTCTCAGAGTAAACAAAGCGCTTCACAGCTCATTCCAGTGAGGGAGTTTGCTGGCATTGTGTAGAGGCAAACAAACATGATCACGTAGGCCATGAAGGAAGCAGAGATCTTAGATAATGACTTTGCTAGTTTTCCCTCCCCGTTTCTGTTTCACATCATCAAAACAAATTAAGGTCAATTGTCCATTTAAAAAAAAAAAAAAAAAATGTCATGATATAAGTTGGAGTGTTCCTGGCTGCAAAGGCTCCTTGACCGAGATCAGTGTGGCCAAGCTTGACCTCTGTTACATAGATTATGTTAAGGATAAATATTTTTGATGATCAGCTAGTAATATAATCATTATTTTATATTTGTCATATTTATAAAACTGAAATGAAGTCACTTTTGGGCAAATCGTTTTTTTGATTAAGTCAAAGTCAATGATCAAGAGAATTGTAAGTCTTGTCTAAACATCTTCACACAATAAAAATCTGTATAATACAATGCTGTTTGTTTGCACTGGGCTTGAAACTTTTCGGCAGGAGAGGGAATGAGTATTCATCTTGCATAGTATTATGTGTGACACATGATTGTATCTGTGATTAAATATATAATGGTTACTGTACATTGATGAATAAATGTAACAATCAAATAGATACCAAATCAATTTCTTAAGCACTCTTAAGAAATATTTCTTAAATATTTACACATCATTCCTTTTCAGTGCAAAAGAAAAGATGGGTGAACAAGAACAATACCTCTAACTATCCCCCCCCACATGGTGCCGTTACTACCTGTAATACAGCTGGAAAATAGTTGCCTGAAATGTAAAAAAACATAATTGCTTAAAGCTGTAAAGCACAGGAAACGCCAGGAGCTACACGAACACATTATGCAGTGCTGTGTTTCCCTGTGATTTTCTGTTCTGTTTAAACCTATTAAATAGATAATTTGAAAATGGGCAACCCAGGAGAAAACCTGCATGTAATGCCGTCTAATTGTGGCCCCACACAATGTTGGTGGTAAATGCTGACAATCAGGAAAACGCTACTTTTCCGAAAGTGATAAATGAAAAAAAAAAAAAAAACAGTGTTATTCTTCCCTCACTTATTCAGTAGCCTTTTTGTTATCCTTTTTTTTTTGCACAGGTACTAGGAACAGTTTCTCCTAACAAGAAGCATATGACAAACATTATTGAGATGGTATCTCCCTCCTTTGAACGTTGTCTCACACTATAAATCTTTGTGTTGCGAGGAGAGACAACGACAAATGTTTCCCCTCCTTTTTTGGAGCATGATCGTGTTGCTGTGGCGTTCAACACAAACCCTCATCCCTTTAGTGAGGAGTGAGTCCCTAAAGACACAGGCACACACGCTGCCTTATAGGGCCTGTTTGCACTCTGTTAACTCTTCAAATCTCACAGGGCTTTTATCAGAAAGTTGCCAGCTCTATAAAGTAACTCATAAAATATTTTTGTGTATATAGCATAGTAGGCCACTTTTATTGCCCTGGATGTTGCTTATGTTACAAGCAGACAAATACATTTAAGGTTAAGTCTAAAGCATGCAGGTAAAGTAGTGCTCCTTGTATGTACTTGCAAGCAAGAAATGTCATTGTCCATCAGTCTTTATTATTAAAGAAGCATTGAATGTAAGTGAAACAGATGATTAATGGGTTTTATTATGGGTCTGACAAAATCTGCTCTCTGGTTTTTGGCTCCAAACTATTTTGTATTTCTTGGACATAAACCTTTCTATTATTCCCCATGTTTATGTTTCAACCATGCAGAGATTCTCCTTTCTTCCTTTCTCACAGGAAGATGCGTTTCCACTGCCATCTAGTGGTGGAGTTTTTTAACTGCAAGTCTCTCTATTTGTGTGCATGTCATAGGAGATAGTGCTGCATACGTTTTTTGGGTTAGTTGTCCCCACGATTCAGCATTTCTTTTCTCTGTTTCAGTTGGCTCTTTTTATGACCAGTAGAAAACCCAAAACATGAGGAAGCAACATACATGTTCTGTGTGTTATACTGTAAAACATAAAGAATAAAACATTAAAATCACTGCCTGGACAACATCAGTTTATATATGATTCATCTGAGGCTGTTTTTGTTTAGTGATGCCTGGTGAAAAACAAAAAAACAAATAGAGATCTGGTAGTTATGGAACATCAGTATGATCGATGGGACAGCAGCTGGTCGTTTACTCACTTGCTGTGACATCGTTGATAAGCTACATTGATTCTGATGTTTATGACTCTTACTGCGTACATTTGGAAATGTATCCTTAAGGGGGATTAACCCAGGTGACGATGAAGACGCATGAGCTCATTATGGCACCGAGTTAGAGCATTATCTGTTCAAGTACATTTTCGATGAATTATGGTTGTTTCATGGCATGTTGCCCCTTATTTAACAGTGGATGTACAAAACAAACACAAGGAAAAGAGGTATTATATGCTTCAAGAAATAGACAAAAGTTTAAAAAAAATTATTTAGTCACCAGTTGTAGGAAATGAGCAAACCCTATAGACCTTATTAACCTTCTTTCTTTAGCTGTTTCTTTGTACCATATGTAAAATATCTTAACATGACCTGAGAGTATATACTTTAGTTGAACAGCACTGAAGTAGACATTACTGTACAAGTGATTTTTTTTATGTTAAGTGTATGGGGTATTTCTCCTCATTAAATCATCTTATTAATGAACCAGTTAATAAGCCTCAGGACCAATTACAAAGGAATGAAGCCATCAGTCATTAGTTTAACCGTAGAAAGAGGTGTCCTTTAAATGAATCGGCACAGTGCTGGCCGCCAGTAATAATATGCAGCTGCAGGTTTCTAAACAAGGTAGACCTATGTCTTCCTCTTGTTTTTCAGATTTACTTTTATTGATCCCGTGAGGGGAAATTTCAGTTTTTACACTCTGTCATGCAAGTGTATGCAACACACACATAGGCTGAAGTATATACATACATACATGCACTTAGTGTGCATGCAAAGACATGCACACTAAGGGAGAGATGTCAGAGTGATGGAGCTGCCCACAGTGGGCGCTCCTGAGCTGATGGTGGGGAGGGGGTTCAGAAGGTGATCTGGCACCTCTCCAGCTACCAGACCAACTTCCAAACTTGGTCCGCACCGAGACTTGAACCGCTGACCCTCCGGTGGCCAACCCAAGTCCCTACAGACTGAGCTACTGCCGCCCTGACCACTGTAACACTGTAACACTGTGTGTAACACTGACCAGGCTTAGAAGTGTCTGTGTTATGACCTTAGAAGTCACTGACAGCATTTTTAGAAATGATTTATTGTGACTTCCAGTAAATAGGAACACTGTCACAGCAGGGCATTGTATGAAGGTTACAGGGCAATTCTCACACTTGGGACATCGCCACTGTTATGCTGTCGGAAATAATTATCTGTAGGAGAACATTTTTGTTTTTGGTGATGCTCTGATGCTGTAAGTGAATCATTTACCACGCTGAATTGGCATTTTTTTGGTCTTTCTTTTTAAAGTTTTTCAATCCCTTTCACTAAGATTGTGTCTTCCACAGGTGGAAGAAGGTGGTCGTGCCTTCCTGGGTGGAGTGCAGGATGACGATGAGATGGTGTCACTAAACGGGGAGCCATGTGCTGATCTCACCCTCTCAAAGGCCTTAGAGCTCATCAACGCATCAATCGACTGTCTGCAGCTGCTTGTTAAAAGGTAGAGCCACAAAAACACCCATTCAATTAATGACGGTGAAATCTGTGAACTAGTGAAAACACAACTTCACATTTTTAATTGTCAAATCAGGAAAACCACAACATCATTGTATAAAAACTGAAGGGTCCTTGCTGTTCACAGCACCAACACTAAATAACAACTGGCCCCTATATTAGCATTTAGATAGCATGTTGTTTTATGACTTGTGCCCTTTTGCATAGTTCAATGAACCACTGACTGTCTGCGTAAATATGGGCATTCATGCATGTGTGTGTATTAGAGAGTTTATGTGAGATGTCAGTGTGTGCTGACCTTCCTGTTAGGCCAGTGTGTCAGTGTGATACAGATTTGTGAGTCTGATTAACATGCAGCCGCTCAGCTGTTTCTAAACGTGTCATGCCAGTGTGTTTATGAGACTGACATGTCCTCAAATGTTACTGTACTGTATATACTTTTTTTTTTTTTAAATCAATAGAAATATTTTTTGAATCAAAAAATGAAATTGTTGTTTAATGGTAATACTTGTACAACTAAGCCATTTTTATTCCCTTAGTTTGGATGAATCAGATGCCAGGTTGTGTCAGTGTCTTGAAACCCTGTTTTTGGCCGAATTCATCAAATCGTGCAGGATCGTTGCATCATCTTTAATTATCATAGTTAAATCAAGAACCACAACTTAGTTGAGAAAATGTGTTCCTCTAACTTATTCCTATTCTCTTTTACTCTTAAAGATACAGCATCATCCCCTCAGAAGTCAGTGAATCAGAGACATCCTGTTGTGAGAGGGACTCTCCTGGTGAGGTTCTAGAGAGCACCACCCTCCACATCGTCTCCACAAAGCACAGGTCCCAGAGCCCCAAGGAACTCTTCATATCCCGGGATGAGGTCTCCCATGAGGATTTGGACAGCAACACAGAGTTTCCCAAGAGACCCCAGCTGATTTGCACTCAGCTACATGCTCCCTCATTTGGGGATCAGCGAGGCCAGGAGGAAAACGATGGAGTTGCACAGAGGTGTCTCTCCCCTGGGGGCATGGTGGAGCTCCAGGTGTCCCTCTCTGCGCAAACCCTGGACGACGTGGGCTGCTCTTCTCTTGGGAGTGCTCTTGGGATCGAGGGAGAATATTCAAACAGAGAGGCCATTATAACAATACCAACCAACACAACCACCACATCTTTTAATGTGCCCAGCTCTGTTAGAGAGCCACTCAGCCAGCGTGGAGTGGTCCTCAGCTCCCCTTCCATGCTGGGGCAGGTGGAGGTCATTTTGCAGCAGCAGCCAGCAGCATCAGAAGCAGGGAGGGGCATCCTGAGTGTGGGTGGCCCCAAGGTCGGTGGAAGCTTAGGATCCCAAAGCGAAGGAGAAGAAGGAGGAGGGCACTGCAAGGGAGTCCCTGGGTCATTGACTGTCTCATTCGGAATTCCCCCAGAAGAGGGGACACCAGCAGAGGAGCAGGACTCTGATTCTGAGGGGGATCAAGAGAAGCCCAACAAGCACAGGGCAAAGCATGCCAGTAAGTACCTATGGATCAATTTTTTTTTTTATGTCCATTCTTTTTCAGTATGTGTGTGATTGTGTGGGTGATCAGAATATATTCATTTAAAAGGGAATCTGCAAGCTAATAGGTCAATACTAGAATGCATTTGTCAACAACATGTGTGCATTCCAAAGCCTGATGTCGTGTGTGTGAACTGCTCAAAATAGTATTGGTCAGGAGTAATGGTTGGAGGAGGGTGCTGAGTCCTTCAAATAGAAGCAGATACATCCGGGTCTAACCTGAAATACAACAGAATCAAAGTCATAGTACAGATAGGATTGTGAAAGTCAATAAAATGCTGTAAATGTAAAAAAAACATTAAAGAAAAAACCCACCTTCTGTAGATGATACATGGAAAACATTTGATACATATCTAAAAGTATCCATTTGTAGAGACTTGATGATTAATATGGATACTAAGGCGTTCCTTCAGAGCTGTGCTGAAGACATAAATATAACACAAGCACGCTGATGATGCCTGCAGAAGTGGCCCTTTGACAGACACCAGCATGTGCACCCTCTCCTGTTACCTGATCCTTTCAAACTGGGTGCTTTAACTGAGCTAAAAAAGTGAGCCCATTGCTCACTCTTCCTGTCCCCTCCACCTTCAGGTTAGTCTTGCAGGAATACAAAAATTGAACCTAACTGCCTTACAATGTTGGATCATTTGAGGGTATTTTCTGTGTAATGTCTGTTATCAGATTGGCTTCTGTGTCAGCAAATTTGGCAGATTTGAAAAGACAGGAGATTTAAAGTGGACAATTTATGGACTATCCATAAGGGCTGGTAAACAGGCTTCGGTCCTAATGGATTTCATGGATGCAGGCTATCTTTATTCCTTCTCAGATCTTATTTCTGTCTTCTTTATGGGGATTAATATTTTTATGTGTTTCATTGTCTTTGGACACATGGTGTCAGAGATTTTCAATAGTTTCTTAATCATTTGATGTATAATGATTAACAGAATGAGAACATTTTGAGGTGCATGAGAACATTTTGTAAAACTGTATGATAGTAGTGTTTTTCATGGAAAGGTATTACAAAATTGCTTGCAACATATTCATCATAAGTTGAATCAGTTTTACATTGCATTGAGTTTAAAAGCTTAGTCAAGCATTGAAAGTTGATTTATGTATTTGTAAAACTTTTTTTGCACTACATTTCTTTGTCCCTTCATTTTCATCCATCGCTATGTTACTATTGTAAGCTCTATTTCAAGTTCTAAAGTTAAGTTCTAAATCAAGCTATGGAAATTATGAAAACAGCTGTCTATGTAAAAATAAAATGAAAATATAAAACAAGTTATTTGAAAAAGTGTAGCAATAATAATAATCTTAAGAATTGTTTTTTTAAAATGTACTCCAAACAAATTTAGTAATTGATGATTTTATGTTTTATTCTTGGTATATATAATTGATTTGTCTTATTGCCGATATAATCCCTCTGGGTAAGCATGTTTTCCTGTACTTTTTCTCTAAACACTGTACATTCATTTTCTTTATCTTTACAGGGCTCAGGCGTAGCGAGAGTCAGTCAGAGAAGCAGCTGAAGGAGGCCAAGTCCAAATGTAAACGTATAGCTCTTCTTCTTACGGCTGCTCCGCCCAACCCCAACAACAAAGGGGTGTTGATGTTCAAGAAACATCGACAAAGGGCTAAGAAATTCACAATTGTGAGCTACGGCACAGGAGAAGACGAACCAGAGTACAGTGACGAAGAGGACGAGGAAAACGAGGAAGACAAGCAAGGAACCCAAACTGTTGCGTTAACCCTTTTCGCTCCAAACAATTCTGAAATAGACAAGCAATTTCTTGGTAATGCCCAAAGAGGAAAAGGTGTGCTAACTATCAACTTGGACAAGGGTCTCCTTGAGATCGAAAAGAGCCTGAAAAACCAAGAAGAGATGGAATGTTTGCCTGAAACCAAGGGTAAGGGAGCTCTGATGTTTGCCCAACGGCGTCTGAGGATGGATGAGATTTCTGCTGAACATGAGGAGCTAAGGAGCCATGGTATTCCAGTGGAAGGAGTTTTGGAGGTAGAAAAGAAGATAGCGGAGCACTCCTACATGCAGTCCACAACAGAGGGCCATGCTTACATGGATGTAAATATACACCAACAAAGCCAACATCAACAACAGCAATATCAGGAGCAGCAATACTATGAGCAACAACAGAAATACCAACAACAGCAACAGCAATACAACAACATAACTACCAACAACAACAACAACAACAACAACAACAACAACAACAGCAATACCAACAACAGTATCAGCAGCAGCAGTATGAACAACAGCAACAGCATTATCAGCAGCAGCAAATGTATCAGCAGCAGCAAGTATATAATCAAGAACAGCAAATGCAGCACTATTCTACAAACATCAATGGCACAGTCCAACAACAAACCAGTGAAATGCAGAGCTCTTTCAGCAATCGTACTGCAAAGCCTTTTTCAGCAGAAAACATAGAGCCTACCCCTTATTCTCCCGCGATGAGTGGGACCAATCAAGATTCTATGGGCCAAGGAGAGCAGATAGCTTCACGAGATGAGCGCATTTCTACCCCTGCTATTAAGAGTGGTCTTTTGATGGATGCAAGGAGAAGAAACGTGGGCAAGCCTATGTTCACTTTTAAGGATGCCCCAAAATTATCACCGAACCCAGCCTTGCTAAACCTCTTAAACAGGGGTGATAAGAGGTTGGGCTTTGAGTCAGGAGGTGAGGAAGACTACCTCAGCCTTGGAGCTGAGGCTTGTAATTTCCTCCAGTCTTCAAGAGGTAAACCCAAGATTCCTCCACCGGTTGCTCCAAAGCCTGTGATCAACCCCAACTCTCCTCTTTGGTCCCCACAGCTAGAGGTGACAAACCAGGACATGCCTCAACAGGCTGAAAATAGTTTGACCACACCTGCTGTAGCCCCCACCACAGAGACTACTCTTGCTCCAGAACTAGAGCCAACCCCTGCACCTGCCCCTGAGCCCTCTCCCCTTCCTGCCCCCCAGGAGGCTACTGCCAGCAACACAACAGAGGACCAGCACACATGGACTCTCCAGCCAGAATCTCAGCAACAGCAATTGCAAGTTTCAACTCAAGAGGAAAATTGTCAAATGAATTCTACGCTACAGCAAGAGCATGCTCCTATGACTAGCTGGTCTACAGCACAAACAGAAGCTCAACAACAGCCACCTACCAATTCATGGCCTCCAACTCAAGTGCAACCCCAGGAACCAACTCCAAGTCAGTCCCCACCACAACCACCATGGGTGACACGTCAACCGCCCCAAGCACAGGTTCAACCGCCCTCAAATACTTGGACCCCTCAAATCCAGCCATCATGGAGTCAGCCTCAAGAGCAAACACAAGCCCAGGCGCAGCCGCCATGGGTCCAGCCTCAAGAGCAACCACATCCTCAACCCCAATTTCAGCCATCTTGGACACACACTCCCGAGCAGCCAAATCTGCAGCAAATACAGCCAACTTGGAGTCAACCCCAAGATCCAATGCGGCAGCAGCCTCAGGCCCAATGGGCACAGCCATCACAAACAGATTCTCAGCATCAACCACCATGGGTGTCACAACAGCAGCAAAAATCCCAACCACCTTGGGTTCAACAGGTTCAGCCAGAATCACAGCCACAGCCACCATGGGTTCAGCAACCACAGCATCAGGCTGCTCAACAAGCATGGCCACAGGTTCAAGCACAAGGCCAGCCTCAACCACCTTGGGTTTCAGCTCAGCCTCAACAGCAACAGCAGCCATCAATGAATACATGGCCTCCATCAAATGCTCAAGCTCAAGTCCAGCCTCCTTGGGGCCAAGCAGCCCAAACACAGCCTCCTGCACAGCCCCAAGGCAATTTGAATCCATGGGCACCAGTACCTCCACATTCTGACTCCCAACCATCATGGGCCCAGAACCCTTCAATGAATTCTTGGGCCCAAGATCAAAACCCTGCTCACCAACAACCACCTTGGGCTCAACCAGTTCCAAGCCAGCCAGCACCACAGTCAAACTGGCAACAGTCCCCTTCAAAGACTCCCCCACAGCCACCAGTGAATACATGGCCTTCAACTCAGAGCCAGCCTCAGAGACCTGAGAATGCCTGGATACCACAGCCTCAGCAGACACCTGTGAATGCTCCTACCTCGATAATGAACCCTCGTCCCTCTCCAAAACCTTGGAATCCACCACAAAGTTCTCCCCAAAGTCGGACTCCTCCACCTCCGCCACAGCGAATGCACTCTTTTACAATTGGCCAAAGAGTTTCATCACCCATCAACCCAATGGCCACCGTCTTAAATCCATCTTCCCAAGGTTCAGCTTTTGAGATGCCAGCAGTAAGAGGGAAAGGAGCTGATATGTTTGCCAAGAGGCAGTCCCGAATGGAAAAGTTTGTTGTGGACTCTGAGACTGTGGAAGCAAACAAGGCAAGCAGACCACCATCCCCAGTTGCTTCATTACCCAATGAGTGGAAGTATACACCCAATGTACGTGCTCCACCTTCACGGTCTTTTAATCCTATACAGTCCCCTTCTTATCCCCCAGCAGCAACAAAGCAGCCTCCGCCAAGTAACCCTTCATCCAAAGCCAAGAAAAAAGAGAAGCAGAAGCCTGCACCTAAACCCCTTAATGTTATAGATGTTATGAAGCATCAGCCCTATCAACTTAATTCTTCACTCTTTACCTATGGCCCAGCAGCAGAGGCTGCCAAGCCCCCTGCACCTAAACCTGAATGTCCTCCTCCTAACCCACCTGTAGAAAACCAACCAATTCACTATGAGCCAATGGCTACTGTTCAGCAAGCTGGACAGTACAGTGCCCAATATCCACAGCAAGCCTATGGGATGCCCATGCAGCCTTTGATGCATGATGGCCACTACCAACAAAACCCAGTTAATGCTTATCCTCCCTCAAACCCTTACCAACAACCTCCAGGTGTTTCATACCAACAGTCATATAACCAACAGTATCAGCAACCTGCCCCACCTCTTTATCAACCCCAATCCCCTCAGTCTCCAAACTCTCCCTACCAGCAGGCCCCTTACCAACAGGCCAATAACACCCCCTACCAGCAGGCTCCACAGACCCCTTACCAGCCAGCTAATAGCCCTCCCTACCTAGCAGCTCCCTCAGCACCTTACCAGCCACAGCCTCCCTCAAGCTACGTTGCTCCTAGTTTTCCTATTGCGGCAAGGCCTGAATCTGTATCAGGTGGCAGCACTGCAGCTGCTCCTAAACCTAGGTTTACTGCTAAAAAGAGCTCGGCTCAGGTTTGGAAGCCTACTGCAGTGGAGAAAGAATAATTCATGTAGAATCATGATTTGTTTGATGTCTGTGTGAATCTGAGGGTTGGAGCTCCTTCATTTTTGAGCACATACACTTGCTTGGGCAATGAGCAACCTAACCTTTACCCACTCTTGTTATTGTCATAAGGACGAGCTGGATATTTTTGAAAGTTGAGGGATTATAGGAATGGCATCACAAACAATTTAGAAAGTAAAAATGACAAGATGGGGGTATATCTTAACAGGCACAAAAATAGGCTAAATGAATTTGTAACTACATGTTTAGCAGTGTTTTTTACGTGTTCTCAAAATATGATGCACATGATATTTCACTTCAGTTAATCACCATAAGTAATTTTATTTAATGTTAAGAATCTAAAGGATGGCAGTATTAGAATGTAGGTGAGAAAGGTGTTCGGTAAAGATTTGAAAGAAAGGAGTGAGAAATAAAAGAAATCAGTGAAGGGTTAGACAGTGACAACAGCAAGTCAAAATTATGAAGAGAAGAAATACTAAATGTGCCTTTGGTTTTTTGATCGACAGACAACATCAAATAAAAAAGAAGTTCCATAATTTATAAGTGGTAAATGCAAAATTGAATAGACTTAAGATAGAAATGAAGACGTGAGAAGGAAGGGTGTGGTCCTTTTGGTGTAATGATACCAAGCTGAAGGCTAAATTTGCAATGTCAGTGAAGTCATAGAGCATAGATTATGTAACAACTCAATGGAGTTCAAATTAAAGCTAAAAACATCAATACCCCTAGAAAAACAAAAAAACACTTTCTCTCTTAAATTTTGATTTTAGTAAACAATTCATTCTTCGTCAGCTTCCCCCAGCGTTTTTTCCATTGCACTACATATGTGGGTTAAATTTATTTTAAGCTTTGTAACCAGCTGTTGCGTCATGTCAGCAGCTATTTTTGAACTGCCTCATGAGAGGTAGTGCTGATGTCCAGAGATAGTAGGCTTAAATATCAACTTAAACCATTGAAAGCTTCTTAATCTCAGACCCTCGTAGTATTTTTTTTATAATAACAGAAAAATATATAACATTTACCACAGCACCAGCTTCACTCTTCCTTGCAACTTCTTCTGCTTTTGTTTTATATGAATAGATGTTTAATGATCTATAAAAGAAGAATTATTGAAAAGATAATCAGCCTGGTAATGTAAACAAATATATATTAGATACAGGGCTGCTTTTGTTCTTCATGTTCTTTTCTGTTTCCTTTTCTTCTGTGTGTTTTTCCTCCTGCACTTTTCTGTATGATTTACTGCAGTGCCATTAAAATGTCTTTTATCCTTGTTTGGCTTTACTCTTCTTTTCTTCCTTGGGCATGCTTTTGGGTTTCTTCTGTTTTCTTTTCATCTTGCTGCATTTCCCCATTTCCCCAGACATGCGCCTATAAATACTGTCAAGATTATTCTATAGCCGCTCAAACATTTCAGTTGCAAAATTAAAAACCTACATGTGCGATCTTCAAATCCAGTGTTGCAAAAATATATTCCTTTCTTGGACATCAAAACGGAATACAATTTATTCTCTGAAGCTTGTTAACATCAGCAAGAAACACCTCATTATCCAAATCACCTACTTTTACAGCTATTGAGGTGAATGCTGTAGAAGCACATTCCTGAAGAATGACTACCTGATGATGCATTCACAAGGGGTATTATTAGATTGGTGACTTCACTGAACACAAGCAACCTCACTGGATAACTCTGGAGGTCAAGTTAGTGGGTCACTGATGAAATGTAGATATGTGTTGTGTAATGCATTTTCTGAAAGGGCAGCTACATGATTAGTGGAAGTTTCGAGATCAAATTGTGTCTTAAGTTGGCAGATATCTGCATCTATATTTGGAGGTATTTGAATTCTACTCAAATAACAGCGGTTTAGCTCCGTTGCTGTGCTGCAGTTATTGATTATTCATGTCCTCAACTTGACCATACTTGGTGCATTTACATTTCAGATCTGAACCATATACAGTTTTATTTGCCAATTAATTATGTGTACACGGTTTTCACTGTGAAGAAATACAATTCAGACACATTTTAGTCTCATAGTGAATTCATGCTATTGCCCCTAAACAGTTATACATAATAATACTTCTTATAACTGAGCTTTCTTCAGAATTGGGAAGAAATGTGGCTCTTCATTTCTCAGATTTAGATCCCATATGAGTATTTTCTTAAAGAGGTGTTTTAAAATAGAGGTCTCTAAATGCACAATCCCAATTTATCATATGCTTATGTACAGTGACTAAGATATATGTTTAACTCTGAATAAAAGAAGCTACATAATAGACACAATAGAAAATATATCAATACTGACAATCATTCCCAGTATATTAAAAATATTACCTGGGGTTGCTTCCTTATCCTACTCATAGATTTGTTTGTTTTTTGCCCTAATCCAAGATGACTCTGCCATAGGCATGTTAGGCCTACCAGGTACCTTATTCAGTCGATAACTTATTCCCCCTTGAGTCATTCAGCCACATTTCCCTTATACATATCTGCACTCTCCTCTGTTGTTTTTCTTTATTTTTTTGCCTGTCACCATCTACTGATCTTTCACATATTCCACCAGATGAGGGCAGCACTGCCCTTTTTTTTTTTTTTAAAACGTGTGCCATGTACAACAAAAGATTGATCGGTTTAAGTGAATTGCATGATGTTCTCACCCAACCTTCAACCTTTGGCTATTGCATTTTGCATTTCACATTTCACATTTTCAGCAAGTGGTCTTAACTTCAAAATGTTGCTGTCCTGCAAGGTATCTCCAATAAAATCAACAATATTGCAATAAAACAGCATATTTTGGTCAGACTATGGATACTTATATGCCTGTTCTAAGAAGAAATGAGGTAATTCAGTCTCAGTCGCAAAAGCAATGTGGTAAGGAGGCTTTTTGTGGAAGTAACAATTAAATCTTAAATGGTAGGTTAAATCTAATTTTATCCTACCAATTCTCCACAGCTCTTTGCAGTTATCTGATTTTGCCAGGTAAAAAATGTTTGTCCATAGTCCTAAATTCAATCAATGAAATCAATATGAGGGTATTACATCACTTAAAGGAAATGTGTTAACAAACAACTACTTTCTTGTCTGACATTTTCAGGCTGGTTGGATTTTGCTCGAGGACAGCCAAACTAAAATGAGCCCTTACTAAAATAAGCATGTCTGGATCTTTCTTTACAGGCACTTGGAAGAAGCTACTCCCTTTCCCCATTAGCCAGAGTGCCAGCCACAACAGGCCAGAGGTCGGCTTCTTCCTCTCCCAAGCCTCCTCGGGCCTCTTCAACTCTCCCAGCACGGCAGACACACTTGTTGGAGAAGGGCCACAAACCCCTTACACCCTGGGAGGCAGCCTCTCGGCATCCCCTGGGTTTGGTGGACGAAGCCTTCCCTGTCCAGAACCTCCAGCAAAGTCTGGCCTCTAATATCCACATGGCAGCCCAGCGTAAGATTCTGCCTGAGCCGCCAGCAGAATGGAAGGCCAGGGTTTCTTACCAAGCCCCGCAGAAAACAGGTAGCCAGACTTGGACCCATAGCCAAAGCCACTTTCCACGCCGAGCTCCGCTGCCATCATTTGTGTCCCCAACAAGGAGCACCATCTCCAGCCCTGCAGGTAGTGCTGGTTACAGGTCTCTGCCCAGGCAGTGGCAGCCTCAGAGGTCCGTGACAGAGGGAAACCTGGGGCAGTCCGTGTCCCTCTCTGAATTTAAAAGGCCCCTGGGAAACCAAACTTACAAGTCTGTGTACACCAGCAACACTTGGAGTTGGAAGCGGTAGGCTATGACTCAACCTCTGTGACCTGCAATTAAAAAAAAAAAAACTTTATTCCATGTCACATTCACGCTCATTTAGACATTTTCCTTTTAAAGTAATCAACATCTAAACAAGCAATAATACAGCGAATGAGAAGAGTGAGCAAGCATAGTGAAGTGCATATTTGAAGCCTACCAGATACAATAGGCCTATCTTGTGATTTTGCTTGCTAATATACTTTGTGTTGTTAGAACCTTACTATTTTTTGCTGACACATCTTTAGAATGAAGAACATTTAAGAATATTTAGAAAATCCAATTTTACTCTTTAGAAAATAAATATGCGAGTGTTTACAATATTGAGCTTGTGGTAAACTGCAGACAAAGGTTGTCTTTTAGATTTGTTTGATTTTATTCAGGCTGGTTTCATTTTCTGCTATAGATGTACTTACCTAGCATGCTGGTTCTTGCAGTGATTGTGCACTCTTTTATGATATTCTTTTGTGAATTTTAATCCATGAAACTTGAGAATGACGTGTTCAGCTCAGGGCACAGAACACACTTAGTGACGCAGCAGATGTTCGAGGCTTGAAACTTTGGGAAAGGTTAGTGCTATAACTCAGAATGTTGTGGGCGGACGTGTTTTTATGTAAGCTTTAATAAGTGAGATTAATTCACTTATTTGCCAGGAGATATTTAATTAGCGCATTAGCATGTGGCCACTAACGACACAGAGAGGGAGAACGAAGATGAGAAGCTGAAAATGGGGCCATCAGTTTCAACAATGCATTGTCACATTGCAGCCCATTGTATCTTAAAGTGTGAAGGCTTATGAGGGAGTAAAAGTTGAATTTAGAAATGTTAAGATATCCCAACTAATTACAACTAAAGGTATTTAGTTCACTGTTTGGTTGGTTGTTGTTGGTTTGTTGCATGTAATGGCTTTTGTGAAACTCTTGTAATCATCTCCAAAGACTTTAGCTAGTTTGGTGTATCCACAGAGTGTACATAATGCCCAAATAGGATTCTCACAAAGCACTCTCACACTGTATTGAACATCTATGCATACTGTAGTGTATCTTTATTTTAACGCTGTATTGCCAATTGAATCAACACTTAATATGGTCACAATGAAATACCAGTAATCGATTTCTGATCCAAAGTAACTCTGATATGGATTCACATAAAGCATTTTACAAAATAAATACATTACCGAAATAGCACTATGTCACAAATTGCATTTTTTGCATTTATTGTGTGTTTGTGCTCTTTGCTCTCTGGGACATTTGTTGCTTGTTGTACCATCCCATGAAGCTTTTTGCATGACGTCTTGTCTGGACCAGTCACTCGTTACGTATCTAATGGAGGGGGGTTGGGAGGAGTTGGTGGAAACTTGTTCCCATGGTGACCACGAGTTACATAATAACAGAGGGTTCCTACTGTGGCTGACCCATTACAGAATGAGAGATAAGGAGACCGAGGGAGATGATAGACAGACATTATTTCCATACCAATTTAGAATAATGAAAATGCTGTGCAGGATTCAAATGCTGGTAAAATGATGGAGTTTGAATGAGAGTATGAGCAATCATAAATTGCGATCAAAATACCTTATTTTGGGGGCGTTCTTACAGAATGAATCACACTTGCTGTTTTATATTTCCAACCTAATGCCTGCTACTGGCCTCAACCGTCTTTGTTTTCTTACAGCAAGTACCTGGTAAGTAGCTGGACCCTATTTGGCCTCAGTCTCTCCTATAATCACATGATGGCTTTTAAAACTAATAGTTTCTGAGTGGTCGGCAGGTCCTGAGGGAGACATGTTCCCATAATAATGTGACTGTGTGAAATAATGCAATGCAGATTTGCTGCTGACACAACTTTATTTCTGACATTAAAGCTTTGTCAGGGGTGTCTAAGAGATTTTTTTTAATCCCTTTTGTGCTTTTTAAATGAATGTATAATTGAAATGTTGCAACATCATGACAAAATCTCTACCTTTTATTGATCCAACTCATTATTGTAGGATCTAGCCTAGTCAATTTGTTACCATCCCTCTGTTATTTTCAACCATCCAAATAATTGATCCCATATAAGCTTGCAATTAAAGCTGTTTATCGTTAAATGTTAGCTATCTCAATCATCATGAACTCAATATTTTAAGCTTTTTAACTACTATAATCAAATTTCCTATTCTTTTTGCGAGCTGATTCGTCCATTATGATTAGCTACCCTGTTTAACAGTTTATATTGTGAAATGTAAGCTTCAACTTTATACACCTTCAGCGTTTAACTTGCTTTTAACCTACATCGAGTGCTAATCAATTATTCATGATTACCTTTTTCAACAAATTTAGCTAGCCATTTTTGCAGTAGCCTCACAGGGACAGTTTCGACCATTCCTCTGTTGCCTTTTTTTTGTACTGAGCTCATTTATTCCCTGCTAACAATTGTAGTTATTATTCTACTCCTTTAAGTGTTGCAAACATGTCTTGACATTGATAGACAGAACTTATGGCAATTTATCCACTATCTTAGCCGATTATTAGCCCCTCCCTCCCCTCCCCCTCATGTTTCTTTAACCCTAGCATCCCAGTTACTCCATAACCCTATTTAGCGATTTAGATTATGTATCCATGGTTTCAAGTTTGCAATAACATGAATCATCTCTTGTTAGCAAATCCTTTTATCAATTACTTTAAGTTTCTGTTCTAAATGTTTGTTTTATGTTGTCTATTTCAACGCTTCATTCGTTTAGCCAATAACTTACATAAAGTCAAGTATAAGTGCTCATCCTTCAACTTCTGGACTCTACTTCAAACATAGATCCCCTAAGTTAAGCTATTGCAACCCTCAATGTATTTTAGTTTTCATTTTCATAAATTATCCATACATTTCAGCCAACTGTTTCTGCTCCCTTGCAAACAAGTTTCAGACACTTTTAAACACAAGCATGTTCAGGTGTTATAATTTAATACAAAAATTAGCTGAATGGTTACATGTTTCTGCAAACCCTGGTAACGGCACAAGCAGCTCGAGGCTATACATAAATACATGTGGGTGGGAATAGCTGATAGATCATCCTGAGCAACTATGATAACAGAAGCAGAGAGAGATAGGCATAGGGCAAAGCGAGCAGTCGTGGCAGTGCTCTATATTTAGTATACCCTCTGCTTGTGCAGTAAATACCAATGACAACAGACAACATGCAGTCACTCTGTCAGTTCGGTCAGGCTGCAGCCCCCTCTGCCCATCCGCCCACCCCACGACAAGCTACAGTGCTCAGGAGTGCCAAAACCACACAGGTCGTTCTGCCTAGTCTGACCCTCTTGACTCTTACCTTTCTGACTTCTTACACTGCGGGGAGAGGCAGAGCTTAAGACTCCCTCCTGAGGGACCTTCAGGACAGGTAAGCCAATACATGGGCTCTCCACAGGTGGGATACTTGGGATACAATGGGACACTTGCACTTTAAACCAAGCATGATTCTCAGTAACACCAAATGTTTGCTTTTTCTACATTGTCCTGTAAATCACCCAGATTTAGTTTTTGTAATATTTTTCTTAATTTCTTTGTTCATGTTTTTGATTAATATCCTGATATTTAACTTCTGTCCTATTGCTTGACATATATAAGAAAGGAATATCCTTGCTGCAGCAAGTATGCACAAGCCGCAAAACATGTCTGATATTACTCTGAAATCGAAATCCTGAAGTTGATTTTTTTGTCGCTAAATTTAAACTTTGCAAACTTGCAGCACCTCTTGTGCCATGGAGCAAGTTTTAATCCAAATGGTGGCGTGAACAGGCTTCATAACTTGCTGTGAAACACTTTTTTTGTTCCATCTGGACACTTTGTGAAAATATTGGGATAAAACCGTTGTATTGTGCTCCATTTCAAACTTTCCACTATTTCATGCTCTGTCTCACGTGTATGCTCTGTCTGCACCATGGTCCCTTTCTGTGTCCTTTCAGCCCACTTGTTTAATTTCAAACATATTGATTCCAAGAACCCTGACACAGCTGGTTGCCATGTCTGAAGAGCATGTGCTTGCCGTTTAACCGCCCAAGGTTATTTAAAGGGATGTGCTAACTTTGCCCTTTTCACTGGCTCAATAAATTCTGTCTGCTTCAGTGCGTCTTTGTGTGAGGTGTGTGTGGTCAATGTTGGCCAATCGATGGTGAACATGCTGCTGTGTTGTCTTGCTTTTGTGTCTTCTTGTATGTTTTGAACAGGCTGTACTGATGTGAGCTATCTCCTGTGACTTCTTTCTTTGCTCATGGCTCCCCAGGGGCAGCCATGTCACAATTCTCCACCATGACGACCAGGGAGAGGCAAATGCAGGCCGCAGCAATCTGCAGGGAGGTTCAAGCCCTGGAAGGTAGCCGTATCATTTACTCTTCACTTCCTTGCATCCTAATCCCTGTGAGATCTCGGTTTCTCTCTCTTTCTCTTGTTGCATCGTTCCCCTGCTTCTGTTTGAGTCTCACCTTCTCTTCTACTCCTCACATCCGGCTCCTTTCATCCCTTTGATTTAACACCACAACTTAGAGTACACGTTTTTATTCTCAGGGGTATTAGTTTTACTGTAAACGCCCAGCTCACCCTGTTTGACACACACACATGCTCTGGACCCTGCCAGATTCACTTTAAAGAAGGTATGAGCCCGCCATATGCCAGGGGAGCAGTAGCCAACCCTCCCTTCTATGACCCTGTCTATAAATACGCAAATGAATACTTTTATGGGCCAAAGTAACTAATCCCTTTGTCGTTGTCCTTTGAACAAGCTATTTCAGGGCGAGGACAACTGCGTTTCCTGGGATAGGGAGGTCCTGAAGGCTACTGACAGCTGAGAGATATTCTGGCAAATTATGCGACTCACACTTGGATATAGGCCGGTGACATCTCCATGATCAGCATGCAGTAGCTAGCACGCAGCGCTAACCACAAAAACAAGCACCAGGCATGAGTGGATTACGAGGAGAGATAATTCCTCGTTCATCATATTGGCAGGAATACCAAGTCAGCAATCCATGTAGAGAGCTTTTTTTTTCTTCTTCTTTGCAGCGGGGTTTTTATGCTTGTGTGAATATAATTTGTGTCCAACAAGGTTTGATTGGAGGGAGAAGAGGAAATCAGATCAGTTTTTGAAAGAATAATTTGTGTTCACAAGCTCTTCAGTCGCAGGAGTCCCTGTAAGCATTAGTGACATAGCTGAAAAATAGATGGTAGGTCTTTACTTTTTGTCTCCTGTGTCCAGATGTAGAGATGGATCTTGGGAAGAAAGTGAACATGCCTAAGGACATCATGCTGGAGGAGCTATCCTTGGCCTCGAATCGGGGCTCTCGTCTCTTCAAAATGCGCCAGAGACGCTCAGAAAAGTACACATTTGAGAGCATCCAGATTAAAAACAACAAGCCCCTCAATGTAAGCAGACACTCAGATGCATAATCACTCGTCATGAAACACATACACTGGAAAGGAATTACATCACACCAATTAGCCCAAATGTTGTCTGTATTTTTGTTACGGGTGTACGGATTAGCTTAGTTTAGATTTGTTTAGCGTAAGACTTGAATCAGGGGAAGCGGCTATCCTGACTCAGCAAATCATTTAATCATCACATTTCCTGATATAAAATCGAAAGGCGTCATGTGCACCAAAAAAGCTAGAGCCTAAAAGCCACTGTTAGCTTAGCTTAGCTTGTCGGGAAATTGCCAGCAGCTAAGTGAATAACATATTTCCCAGAATAGCTATGCTCAGAAAAACTCACTGGGCATAATGCCTTCTGCAAAGCTATTGTCTGGAGGCTACATGTAGCTTAGCTTAGGATGAAGACTGGGTTCAGGGGGGGGTGACAGCTAACCTGGCTCCGTCAGTTCTCAGCAAGAAAGCAAATAATCACGGCCCGGGATGGCAAATTGACTCTCTTTGATGAAGGAGTTATTGTAGCTTTGTCACACTGCCAGAGTGTTTTACTTCCTAATCATCCATTGGCACCACATATTTTCCCTCCATCACATTGAAAACATTCACACAATACCTTACATCCTGATGGGGTATATGTGGAAAAGATTAAGCGCTTGAAGTGTTTATTTGACTCGTGCTGCAGACATGGAGTGGCGCAGTCGTTAAAGTTGTTCTGCTGGTCATAAGTAGCTTTATTAATGTCCCTTTTGTGTATGAATTCAGTGTTTTATTTTCCCAGCAGTACTTATCTAAACTTGATTTGGTCACACATTAAACAATTTGTTTTCCCAAGCCCTCAAGATTAAATAACCAAGTTCGTCTTTATTATATGTCAGTAATTAGCAACACTAGTGCTATACTCTTCAGTCAGTTGTGTCTTGCCTTTGTGTACTTTGAATTGCACCCTTTAAGTCTACAGATAAAATAGTTATTACGCTCAAGGGAAGTTTTTTCTCCTCATCTTTGAAGTGAGTGGGACTCGCATATCTCTGGTTTGTTTATTGCTCGAGGCAACGGAGGGATTTTGTTTCAAGTTGTCAACATTTCCTGAGGAAGTCCTGGAGAAAGTCATCATAAATATCTTTCAGAGGGATGAAAGCTGGCTGCCATGGCTGCAGTTTTATTTCTTCCCAGCCTTACAAAACAATGTCTCTAATGTTGAGGAAAAGCGTTCACACAGACACTTTCTCTGCCCGTTGTTGCCGCCGCAGGAAAACATGTAAAAAGGCAATCCAGGTTAAGTGCTTTGACTCCACATGAAAATAGCAGAGCTCTGCAGAGCTTCTCTGGCACTTTTCAATGTGCATGCAAATCAAATTATCCATTTTGGTACAGTTAATATAAATATGTCAGCCGGAGTTTGGATGAAGCCATTTTTACCATCTGTAACAAACATAATCCAATATGCAATGAGATACCAAATTAGGGATAGGCAGTCTCACCATATTGTCCATTTAATTGCTGTAACTGCAGTTTGCACACTTGTCAATTAAATCATATATTTTTTATGACATTATGATTGGACTAATCTTTTAAGGCCAGAGTCTGAGCATTGTTTTTTTTTTTATCTCACATTCTTCTGCAGCAGATAGTTTGCCTATTCTTGCCTTTTTTTTAAACATTATAGATTTCAAAGATAGTCTGTAAAGCTGCCACAAAGAATACTTTGCCATGATGTAAACAACTTTATGTAGGATAAATGCAGTAGTATTGATACATGCACAGTCGTACTTTGATCTGCAGTTCACCTCCTAAAGCATTTTTTATTTTGATGTTTAGCTACATTGAGAAGGCTTTGGTAAACCCTCACCTGCCGTACAGACTTTAGCAGGTTACTGTTCTGCAAAGTGGAGCATGACACAGCTCATTTTCCATATTTCAGTAAGGAGGTGGATGAGACAAAAACAGACCCACATCATGACTCCAACTGGATGCCTACTTAGTTTGTTGACTTACTGTTTGCTAAAAAATCACAAATGTGAATAAAAGAGGCCAAAATGAACGAATGCAGGATTGAAGTGCTCAGAAAAACGAACTAAATAGATTTCAAAGACGATTGGGCAGCTCCTCTGCTGTGGATGTTCAAAAGCTTCTCTCGCCTTCGTCAAGAACTCACTTTTCGTCCTAAGACATGCCAAAGTTTTTGCAGCTTTTCTTTTTAAATCAACTCACTCACTATGATCTTTCTTTTAGGACACAAATGTCTCTCAAATTGAAAATGGGAATGCAGGAGACTGTCCCGTTGCTGAGAACAACTTGGAAGCAGAACGAACACCACCAGATTCAAGAGTTGAGCCAAATCCTGAAAGTATCGCCCCTGGTATGTAACACTTGTGATACAATGTACCAATTTACTGGAACACAATACATTTAAGGGATGTCATGAAGTCTGAAATAACCAACCAGTTTAACTCACTGACCTTACTTAGTCTCTGCTTCTGCTTGTTTTTGGTATAAACCAATAGATTTAATGTACGATACAACTCAAAAGAAATGGCCCTGCTCCTGCTGGATGTGCTGTGTTTTGATAAGGTTTCAACTGCTTCTCATTGTTTGTGCTCACGCAGGCTTTGATCATGTAGGGAAACATTTGTCTCTCGCCTGGAATCTGCTGGCCTCGGGGCAGAAAATGATTACACATTTCTACTCAACCGTCTCTCTGCCTGTCTCCTCTCTTCCTCTGTCTTTAAATCTTCATCCCATACCTTTGTTTCTAGCTTACTCCTGCACATACTTTAATTTATCTTATTCCCCACCTGTAGTTTTTTTCTTTCCAAGTCTTTGTCACAATCAGCTCTGGCCATCTTTCCCCAAAATTGTTGACTTTTACGCACTGGAAGTATTTCCTGTTTGCCTCTTGTGCCACTGATACCATCAGCTTAGCACTCACATCCTCCCTCATGTCTTAATTCTGCCCGTCTGACACAAAACCGACGCTGGTTTAGGGATGAGCATACGTCTGAGCAAGGGGTGGGGTGTTATTTTTGGAGCTCTGGACCGGCACCACCCTTCAGTGTCTGAAAGAGTCACTCCAGCTGTAGCAGGAATCAGGCCAAAGTGCATTTGGTATTAAATGGTAAGAAGCCTTAAAATAGTGCACTCGTCCACTCAGGAGTGCAAGTTTGACGTGCCTGCACTTGGAGCAAGTGATGTTTTACCAGGTTAAGGTTATATACATTGAAGACTTATGTCAAAGGTCTTTATTGCTTATTATTTGCAAGATTAAATGATGAAGATGTAGAGAGGTTAAGCTTAACAATGCAATAATTTTGAAACTTTCGATTAATAAAGGTTTGTATTTTGCATAGCATTAAAAAATGTCAACTATATCTGTCTTTATAAGACTATGTTTCTAAATGTTGCCACATTTTAATGTTTTAGAAAACCCCTTTATGTGCAAAAAGCCAGGCTCTCTTTCTGTCCTTTTAAGTGCTTTTTGGAATCCCTCTTTCATCTCCACACAGAACTGGGTGTGCTACAGTCCTTTCCCACAAGAATGTCAACTCAGCCAAACATCCAACCACGCAAACAATATTCCACTTGCTTCCGGAAAAATCTTTTACACAATGTTTTGTAATAGATAGAGAAAAATAAAACTGTCCGCAGGTCTGTTTGGTCTCTCCTGCTTCCTCCTCAGGGCAGAACATAAACTCAGGAAGGGGGATTGTTCATTGTGAGAGGTTAGGACGTGACACGATGCCCTGTGTTATGTAACGCCTGAGCTTGCAAGCCCCCCCTGAGTGAAGCGCTGGGTTTGAAGGATAGTGCTTTGGAAAGGCCTCTCCCATCAACACACATGGAGTAAGCGGGGAGACATGTATGCAGGCATCCACATTCTCAGGAACACAGGGAAGCTGTCCCTTAATTTGCTTAGCTGTGAACATTAATAAGGGATAAGGGGCTCAAGAAAAAAACAAGTGGAAGGTCATGTTGTTTTGCCTCCTCAGTCTGCTTTAAATGAGTTACACACTGTATAAACAATAACATTTTACAATAACATCATGAAAAATGACCATATAATCATTGTCACAAAAAATGTTTCTTGGATATCATGTAATACTTCGTCCAAAAAATCTTCAGATAGGTATAAAACGTTTTACCTCATGATCGAGATCGTGATACGTCATAGTTGTCTGTCTAAATATTTCTAAATTTTCATACCCTGTTTTACTTTCCAGCATCAAGACCTTAAAAGCAGACTAGCTTTTGCAAAAATGTATTCAATGCAGAAAAGGTTATTGTCAATCTCTGTCTGTTTTGTAAACCCTTCCAGGGTATGGAAGTCCTTTGAAAGAAATCCCTCCAGAGAAGTTTAACAGCACAGCTGTGCCAAAGTCCTACCACTCACCCTGGGAGCAGGCCATCATCAGCGACCCAGCCTTGGCTGACACTATAGTCACCTGCATGCCTGCGCCTGAGCCGCGACCAGACCTACCAGGGTACAAAAGTTTCAACAGGTAACTAACAACCTTACAGGTGAACAGCAACTCAACAATGAAATGAAATTGGTTAAAAATGACAAATTCAGAGAAACAACAGTGAGAAATTGTTATAAGTAGTGTGTCAATGTATCTTTTTATTGCTTTCAAATTTCAATAAATAAAAGGGAAAGTTGCATTTCCTTCAAATAGCACAGCCACAGTGAGAACACTTTGATTCTGTTGCATGCAGGGTGGCAACTCCGTTTGGTGGCTTCAACAAAGGACCCAAACCTGCTTCCATCAAGCCTTTAAAGTTGGAACCCCTTCCCGACCAGCCCGAGCTCCAGGCAGACACAGACGTCAATCGGCCCTCCTTTAACAGATCTGCTCTGGGGTGGGTGTCAGCGGGCGATCCAGTCTCTCTCCCAACTGTTTCTGTTGAGCCTGTGCTCATCCCTGAGTCAGATGACCTATAGACCTCTAACAAGGTCATTGGAAGATGATGTCTACTAGTTTGACAACAGGGAGATGATGTCTACTAGTTTGTTAAGACAACAGAGGTTACACTGAGAGAGGTGGTTTCAGTCAGAGCAAAGCCAGGGGCACAGAAAGGGTCCCGTCTGGCCTTGCAGGTTCAAGTTAAAATGTTTGCAGATGATTCTTTAGTTTTCAGGGATGTTAAGTTTTGCACTGAATGATCACCCTGTACAGAAGGCAGTCACACCAATGGAAGAAATGGAATTTGATGTATATTAATGTGCATAATAATATTTTATCTCGCAGCACCAATGTTTTTGCCAAATAAAATGGTGTGGATTGCACAATGTCCAAGTTATTTTCACATTTTTCATGCTTGAATTTCATTTTCTGCCTCTAGAATTGTTGATGATGTTTGAAAGGCCTCAGTTTTTGGGGACGTAGATGCAAATCTGTTATATATTCCAGAACAGGCCCCCCCCCTGGTCACGATTTCACAGTGAGTCGGTCTGAAGGCTCACTTGAGTGAATGATGCTTCTCCTGCTTGTTCTTGTCATATGCAAAGCATAGCATCGTGTGAGAAGCCAAAGATACATGTGAGCCACTGTAACACGCCTCAAGGTTACACTGCCTGACAAATCAGATCTACTTCACTGACACGAGCTGCTTGACTGATGTGTTTCTCACCTTTTGGCAATGCCCAGGCGATAGAATGGGATTGATGGGAGAACGGCTTGATGAGCTGTGCACACTCATCTGTCTGTGTATTTATTCCTACAACACTTGGGTATTTATCTCAGAGATAACAGGCTGAAGCTAACAGATCAGACTGATTGATAGTTACCAGCAGACTTTTCAATTGGAGTACAGCTGGTTACCCATGTTAGCTCTGCCTAAAGAAGAGCAAATTCCATAATGCTTTTTAGCCATTTCAAGTTTCTGAGCAGACAAAATCACATAATTTACAATTTAGGACATATCTAGATGAGAAATATGTCATGTTGTACTGCATGTAGTTGTAGTCAGTATTATCAAGCTAACATGCTAGCTTTTAAGCTAGCTGAGTCTGAAAACAATAGTTTGTATACGCATTTATTATTTAGTATCTCCCTAAATGTAATAATTGTAAAAAGACATTTTGCAGAAGTTTATAGAAACCAGTTTGTCTTATGTGGAACATATTTCCTATTTTATGCCCATTTATGTCAACATGCAACTAGGCTGAATAAAAAAAAAATCTTGAAACCACAAATTAAACATGTTAAACCTGTTAAAGGCTTTATATGCGATTTTTCACACTTAAATATAATATAAATCAAGTATATCCTCTGAAAATAACTCTGTGAGTCATGACTGTCTACAATGGGTGTAACACCCGAGTCCCACTGTCTGTGATGCTTTCAGAGTTTTCAGAGTCCTATCTTCAGTTTGTTTACATCGCCCGGACGGCTAGCCGACTCATCCCCTCATGTATAAAAGTTGTTTAATTGAGGGACTAGAGAAAAGAAGAATAACATACTGTACTCACTGCTTAACTGTGTTTCTAGATCACGCTCATTTCGGGTAAATTTACATGCAGTGTGAAGATACGAGCATAATAAAGACCGCTAGCATTAGCATGCTAACACAACAATGCACCGCGAGTTGTTTTGGTTTCATGCTGGTGCTCAAGGGCGACATCTGCTGGATCAAAAAATGGCATATAAAGCCTTTGAAGAATTAGGTGGTTCCAGGTTTCTTTGGGTGTGGAATTCCATAAAGTCATATATTTTTTAATCGTACACCTATATTGAGATAAGTAAGTTGTAAGTATGGTTAGTAAACATTGTGGCAAAGAAAGTATTTTTCTGCTTATAATATGGTATATGGTCAGTTCTTTAAATCAAGATATGAGTCTATTTCATTATTTTTGATTCACATTTAAAGTTTACATCAACAAATATGACTATTTTCTGTCTGTGATAGGACAGTGTAATATTATACAGGTAATATATATTATACAAAAATAAAGCATTTACATCAGCATGTTAGTTTTTTCAGGCCTTTCTATTTACTTTAACATTCAGTACTGTAGATGAGAAAAATAGCAATAAAGCTTTAAATAAAAATGACTTTTTTTATGGCAGCTAAACTTTTGATGAAACTTTCAATGCATTACCAAGAAAGCGAGTGAGATGAGGGATTGTTGTTGGTTTGATAAGTCAGTGAATGACAATTCACAGACTGCAAAGTTACTGATGTCTGTTCTGTCTCCGAATCAGTCAAATTCCTTCCAGATTTCCTTCATGCATGTGTCTCAATCCAGCTTCAGCACCACCAAAGATGATTTGGCCACTCCCTTTTTTGGGCCTGATTGAACTGCCTCTACAGGAAACTGTGTGCAGCCTCCGACAGTGCCAGCAGCTCTGCCAAGTACCACAGTAAATATTGAGCAGTGTTTATCAAGGGCAGGAATGAACTCTCTTTGAACTTTGATTGTAGCCATTATCAAAATGTAGCAACGGAAATATTATTGGCAGCAGACTGAAGGCTGGAGGGGGAGGGGAGCCAGACTGTTCGATTATTAGTCTCTAAATGTAACCAGTTTCCCCTCAGGCGTGTTAGCTTTGGCATGAGATGGCACAGCAGGCACTGGGCAATGAATAATAGACTGTGTTGTACAGTTTGCTCTGGACAATATGGTGGCTTAGTGATTAGAACGACTGTCCAATACTGAGAGTTACTTGCAGAAGTGGAATCTTTTACATTTTGATGCAAGAGAATAAACCTGTCATGCTTAATGGATAAGAGCATCAGAGAATTGAGTTAATAGCATGCTGGAGACTGTGGGAAATCAAATGGGGACCTTTTTAGTGAGAGAGAAACAGCACACAAACACTTGATAGGAATCTTAGAGTGGAGTGACGTCTTGTTATGTAATAGCATTCCTGATAAGATGAGAACATGTTGTTTTTTTTGTGTTCAACAGGTGCGACGAAGTGAGACAAAACTTCACATTGGACATGTTTTCACTCTGACCCCGCTGGGTCTAAAACAGAGCATCTGGCCTTTATCAGCACTTAATGATGAACTCTGCTGCTGTTGCAGTCCCAGTCATGTTTTAAAGCTGATCTCCCTGGGGTTTCCATCTGCAAACACAGCACCGAACGTTAGTGAGTGTGCAGCATGCTGCTGACACAGACAACTGCTAAAAGGTTGAGTCACATGACTGGCCAATAACCCAGGGGGATTTCTTTAAATGTGCATGTGTTGTGAAGGAAAAACGTGCAAGGGCACTGAGTTGTACCTAGAGGGAGACATATGGTTCTCTGAAAGGTTGTAGCATACTGGAACACTTCTGAGGAGTTAGATCATAGGTGGAATATTTGGATTATACTTGTAATATTATGTAGCAGTGACTTTATAATAATTTTAGTTCATGTGTTTTCATATTTGATGACACAATGCTTGACGGACATGCACAGCAGGTGGTCATTCTCACAGAAAAGTGCAAAGCCAAATGGGATTATAAAGCATCCCAGGGGTCAATGGGGTGGTGTTGGGTTGCGATGAGGTGGGGCAAAAGGGGACGTGGCACGCATACCGCTCGTGCAACACGGTAAAGTGACGCAATGGGGGGGTGAAGTATGTTACGTGCTGAGAAAATGTTCAATCCAAGTGTCAGCAGGTTGTGTGAGGGTGGATGCCTTGTTCATTCACAAACAATGATGGGATGTTGTGTGTAAGCTTGTGTGGAATACTTTCATCACGACTCATCTTTCTTATCAAATATATATATATATATATATATTACTGTAGGAACTACTTTATGCAAAGGTGCTCGTCACTAAGCTAGTAATTAGCTTGTTTGGACAAATGAACATTCAAGTCTGTGTTCCTGTTTACTTGCAAAAGCCCTCGAGACCAATTAGAGCTGTGTTTTCTCAAAGTAATCCAGCTTCTGACTTTAACCTCAAGGGACACATCTATACTCTTGACTGGTCAATATACTGTATGTTCCTCTCTCCTCTCTTTAGTTGCTAGTCTTTAAAGAATGATTAACTCACAACATCGCTAAGCAAACAAACAGGAGCACTGAGGCCTTCAGATGACAAGTGAAATGCTCTTTTCTCATCTTATACTGCTGGAAAAGTGAGGAATGTAGCTTTAATTGTGGAGAAAAGGGAGGGAAAAGCCCATTTAGGATGATGCGGCTGTGGAAAGAATAACTATTGTACCTTATCTTAGTCAATAAAGGGCATTACTTTCCTTTAGACAGCTCTGAGGGCAGTAGCATGCCTTTTTCTGTGCGCTGCAACTACCACGGATACGGCAAGCAGCAGTGAAATATATCACAGTCACCCCTTTGGCTGCGCTCCAGAATTAATGTAACATGGTCAACTGCCAAAAAATGATGCTTATGTCATCCACTTTTCTGCAGTAAAACAATGAGTGCAGTGCTACTCGCGGGGTTATAGAGGGAAGGTAAATTACTACAAATGGATAGAGAGTCAAATAAATGCACAGAGAAGGGTCTTTACTCTTGAATGGACAGATTTTCTTCCTTCCTTCTATGCCGTGTTATGAAGAGACCCACGCTGGGGTATCATGCTGTGTCTGTGGTAATGCTAAGTCATCATGATAGAACAAAAAAATCCCTTCCAGGTGAATGATATATATGATGTAGGAAGTATAGGGAGATTTTTTTTTGGTAGTTGTGATTCCTTGAACCATGTTTTCTGCAGATCCTGGTGTCCAGGTGTACTGACTCAACTGTTCCAGAGAAACTATAGGAGCAGTTTCAGTCCCCCTCCCCCCCAAAAAAATCTCATTATCACCAGATTATAATCCCACTTTAAATATAGCACGGGTTGCATTGGAGGCGTTGCCCTCCGTGGCCCCTATTGTGGCATTCGAGCATGTCTAATCTCTTATATAACAAGGGGGCATTCACAACTGTGTGGTTCCTCATTAGTAGTAATTCGATAGCAACACAACAAGTGATGTTCACAGAAAGAGAAAACATGACAAGCTTTTGCTTTGTTAAATCGATCCACTCTTAGCATTTTTTTGCAGAAGGGACACGAAGGCGTTTAAAGTGAAGTTGAGCAACCTTGATTGAAAAATCTCACAGTTTGAACTCAAGTCACAAAGGTGCCAAATGTGTCCTCACATTACTTTCTATTAGTTCAAGCTGTTCCATTTGAATTATTTGGATTTCCCGTGATAGCACAAACATCCAGGTTTGCACACAGCGCACACAAACTAGGGTGTTATTATTACACTGAGACAGCAAGCAAGCAGATGAAGATACATTTTAACCTTGCACTGAAGCATTTTTTTAATATTTATCTTGCAGCAAAATATTTTTTAGGTTA